TACACACAACTCCAGATTTCTAGCTTTTCCCTTGATTGTGGCTGTTGTGTTCCTTTATGAAGTTTTCTTGGCAAGATTTGTTCAGAGGTGTTTTGCCTTTTCTTCAGTATCTATGACTAAGCTTTTCAATAGAACTGCATTTGTATCCATTAACTGGACATGAGTTCAGACTTTGAACTCTGTGCCAAGAAGGGGGAAAAAAGAGACAAGGCCAGACCTGTATCCACAATTAATGTCAGAATCGGATCCGAGCGAGCCAAACCGAACACGGTTTGTGTCCTTTTTAAGGGCATATGCCGCGGCAATAAAGGCCGCAAAGAAAATCTTCTTTGCGGCTACTATTGCGTCTGCAAAGAACCGTCCGGCTGAACTGTTCCGAGTTGTCAGAGGCCTTTTAAAACCCACCATCCAGGATGGGTGCCCTGATGACTCGGCAGTTCGCTGTGAAGCCTTTGCTCAGTTCTTTGCAGACAAAGTCGCTTTGATCCGCTCTGGTCTGGATACCATATTAACGGCAGTCTCTGAGGATGTAACACGAGCACCTGCTTGTCCAGTTTTGATGGATTCATTTCAATTGGTGAAACCCGAGGATGTGGACAAGTTACTTGGAGGAATGAGGCCAACCACATGCATCCTAGACCCCTGCCCATCCTGGCTTCTAAAGGAGGCCAGAGGGGGATTGGCTGAGTGGTGAAGGTGGTGGTTAATGCCTCCCTTCGGGAGGGCAAAATTCCAGCCAGCTTAAAGCAAGCTGTAATAAAACCGCTGTTGAAGAAACCATCACTGGACCCCACTCAATTCGTCGACTATCGGCCTGTTTCCAATCTCCCCTTTTTGGGCAAAGTCATGGAACGTGTGGTGGCCTCACAACTCCAGGCATTCTTGGTAGACACGGATTATCTGGATCCGGCACAGTCTGGCTTTAGGCCGGGACATGGTACCGAGACAGCCTTGGTCGCCTTAGTGGATGATCTGCGTCGGGAGCTCGACAGGGGGAGTGTGTCCCTGTTGGTGCTGCTCGACCTCTCAGCGGCCTTCGATACCGTCGATCACGGTATCCTTCTGGGACGCCTCGCGGGGATGGGTCTTGGAGGTACTGTTTTGCAGTGGCTCCGCTCATTCCTCGAGGGTCGGTCCCAGATGGTGTTATGGGGAGACTCCTGTTCAACCCCACAACCTTTGTCTTGTGGGGTTCCTCAGGGTTCAATACTGTCTCCCATGTTGTTTAACATCTACATGAAGCCGCTGGGAGATCATCCAGAGTTTCGGAGTGCGATGTCATCTGTACGCAGATGATGTCCAACTCTGTCACTCCTTCCACCTGCTACTAAGGAGGCTGTCGAGGTCCTGAACCGGTGCTTGGCCGCTGTGACGGTCTGGATGGGGGCGAACAAATTGAAATTGAATCCAGACAAGACAGAGGTACTCCTGGTTAGTCTCAAGGCCGAACAGGGTATTGGATTACAGCCTGTGTTGGATGGGGTCGCACTCCCCCTGAAGACACAGGTTCGCAGCTTGGGGGTGATCCTGGACTCATCGCTGAGCCTGGAACCCCAGGTTTCGGCGGTGACCAGGGGAGCCTTCGCACAGTTAAAACTTGTGCGCCAACTGCGACCGTACCTTGGGAAGTCTGACTTAGCCACGGTAGTCCACGCTCTGGTTACATCCCGCCTTGATTACTGCAACGCTCTCTATGTGGGGTTGCCTTTGAAGACAGTCCGGAAGCTCCAGTTAGTCCAACGGGCGGCAGCCATGTTTTTAACAGGAGCTGATCGCAGGGAGCATACAACTCCCTTGCTGAACCAGCTCCACTGGCTGCCGATATGCTACCGGGCTCAATTCAAGGTGCTGGCGTTGGCCTTTAAAGCCCTAAACGGTTCTGGCCCAACTTATCTATCCGAACGTATCTCAGCCTATCAGCCCACCAGGACCCTAAGATCTTCCGGAGAGTCCCTTCTCTCTATCCCTCCAGCTTCAGAAGTGCGGCTGGCGGGAACGAGAGATAGGGCCTTCTCTGTGGTGGCCCCTCGGCTTTGGAACGCCCTCCCTATAGAGGTACGATCAGCCTCGTCGCTGATGGTGTTTAGGAAGAGACTCAAAACATGGTTATTCAAACAAGCATTCGGCTAATTGTGGCAATTAAATCGAATCTTGGTGACTATGGACAGGAAATATGGACAACGAACTCTGGATTGTGATTTCAACTCGAGATATATGGGATTATTATTGGTGGCCCAATAATTTGTTATTGTATTTGTATATGTTTTTTAAACTGAGATTGTTTTTAAAATGCTGTAAACCGCAATTGAGTCGTTGTTCTAGTCTGAGAAATTAGCGGTATACAAGTGTACCAAACAAACAAACAAAGAATACACTTTAAGTAGAAAATTACAGAAAACTATTTGTTCTCACCTTCAGCACAGGACCCATAGTCAAGTACTCCTCCTGGCCATGCCTTCATTTGGTATCAGTCCTTTGGATGGAGATCCAACTCATTGCTCAATTTTAGGGCCATGCCATCCCTGTCAAGAACTACAGTGTTCCATTATGCCAAGAGCTTTGGTTTTACAGGAGCAGCTGTTTTTCACCATCCTTTGAATTTGAAGTCATGCTCAACCTCACTGGAGACTGTCAGAGTTTTATATTGTTTAGATCATTTCTTAAGTGAAAAATGGGTAAGCGATTGTAAGAATCATGTCCAGTCATTGTATGGCAAGCAACAGTCAAGCCACCTGTGAAAGCTTAGCTACTACAAATTAAGAGACTGAGAAGAGTAGAGTAGAGAATGATGATGAGGAGACTGTGAAGAAAACAAGAGCTAGAAGAAGAGGAATAGATTCCTGTAAAAGCTCAAGGAAGGTTTGCTGGAATATTGGGATCAATGAATTGAAACTTTTATTTGTGACTATAGCATAAACATTTAATTTATTGGAAGAAAGTTTGTCTTCTGTGGATTGTATTATTTTTCTCAACGGGGCGCAGCCTCCAAGAAAGGGGGTTTGAATGTTTGAAAACAACCCCAACTATAAAGCAGCAACACCATAGCTGCGACAGAGACATCCCCTGGTGAGGACTTGGCAAAATAGATAAGCCCCTTTGGTTTAATCATAATCAAAATTAAGGGTGCAATTTCAAGATGTCAAGCTAGGTCAGGCTGAAGCAGCAAAGGAATAATCACATTAAATCTAAAGTTGGGAACTTGGGTTTATTCAGGATGTTTTTAGTAGTAAAATCTATAGTCTCCAATGTCAAGAGATGTTTTAAAATGTGTAGATCACTTGAAGGGAGAAAGCATTTACAATGAGAAGCAAGAAAGGAACAGGGAGGCAGTTATTTGGTATGTAGATTTATAGACTTCCCAAGACTCATTTTCTCATGTTACTTTTTATTGCTGAGCCAAGAGAAAGTGATGGTTGACCAGGGAACACAATAATTAAATCCAGAGGTTTCATTGTGGATGTAATGGGACAGAACATGCTTCCCAACATTGCTCAACAGAAAATCTTTATCAAGAGGCAGTCATATTGCTTCTACGTAAGGACTCAGATCATTTGCACAATATAGCTTTTTAGTTTTTCTACATTAAAAGGAGTCTCCGGTGGCACAGTGGGTTAAACCGCTGAGCTGCTGAGCTTGTTGACCGAAAGGTCACAGGTTCGAATCTGGGGAGTGGCATGAACTTCAGCTGTCAGCCCCAGCTTCTGCCAACCTAGCAGTTCGAAAACATGCAAATGTGAGTAGATCAATAGGTACTGTTCTGGTGGGAAGGTAATGGCACTCCATGCAGTCATGCCGGCCACATGACCTTGGAGGTGTCTATGAACAACACCGGCTCTTCCGCTTAGAAATGGAGATGAGCACCACACCTCAGAGTTGGACATGACTGGACTTAATGTCAGGGGAAAACCTTTTCCTTTACCTACATTAAAAATACAATGTTTTTCTATGCAGCGGGGTTAAAGGCATCTGTATGCAAATGGGTGCTTGATTTGGTCTGTGAATTTATGAATGACAATAACTTTTCTTTGACCTATAATCTTTTTGGGGTCTCTGTCTCTCTCTCTCTGTGTCTCTCTGACATAGTGTGTATTGTTGTGATGATATGTAATTCTATTTTATGTGTGGTACCTTGAATACTTTGGTAATTGCTTGAGTCCCTTCAGGGAGATGGTAGAGGGGTACAAATAAAGTTTATTATTAATTTATTATTAATAAAAATGCACATAAAATTATACAATTAATACATTTTCCCATTTTAATCATTTTGTTTTGTTTTCTCATTAAAATGAATAAAAATTAAAATCAATAACATTTTATTATTTTTATTTATTAATCTATACTCATCCATTGCCCGAAATATTGTTATGAATTTGCTAAAAGTAGAAACTAATTTCTAGCTAAAATGGATAAATTATCTTGTTAAAAGAGAAGTCATGACAATATTATCAAGCAGGATATAAAGTAAGCAAATATATACATGGTTGCTTTTATAACCATTCAGTGTCATTGTTATTCACATATTACCCATGGGGGGGACTGAAGCTGAGAAAATGAATTGTGCAGCAACATTCAGGGAGGCCATGGTTGAACTGGAATCTTAAATGCTAGTTCAAATACAATTTGGTAGGAAGCTTAGGTTCATAACTAAACACAAGAAAATAGGTTTTCCTCCCTTCTGCATTTCTTCTGCCTAGCAATAAAATATTCCTACATCACAGTGAATGATCCAGTCAACAGTTCTCTTTGTAGTCACACCTATTATTTTGAATAAAAGCCAAGATCATTTGCCTTGAGAGCATAATAAATATTACCTGTTACATTTGGATTCTGAAAAGCACATCATTAAGAGATTTCTTGCAAGAGAAGAAATAGTTATTAACCCTTTTTCAAAAATTCACTAGTGGGACATAAATTGCCATAAAACAATAATGAAAAGTTTGTACATTCTAAATGCGTGTTTGCATAATACAACAACATACTTGGTATTCAATAGTTCTAGTATAAGTTTTTGACACTATGCAGGAGTTGTCTCCTCCACTGGTTCTTCTGGGTTGATTATTAGATCTGCTCTTGGAAAGTGGTGTCTCAGTACAGTTATAAAGGTTATGCACAGTGCAGCACAACAAGCAGCAGAAAGGGCAAATATAACTACTATTGTATATTTTGTCCTGGCATCAGGTTTACTTTCCTTTCTTGGTGGAGCAGGGCCGCTGTCAATACTGCCACCATAGCCTTTATTTCGACAGTTAGGAGGGGACCAGCCATAATTACAATGGCAATGTTTGTGGTTGTTACATATTCCTCTATTAAGACACTTGGAGACATAGCAGTCATAGTTCAAGAAAGACACATTCATGCACTGACCACTAATACACATCATGTCTTTACCACAAGGGGTGCCATCAATCACAGATCCAATATCAGCTATTTTCAGTCCACTGTGGTAGTCTGTACCCCAGCACTCTCTGTTCCCAATGTGCGTTTGAACGATAGTGCGGTGTTCCTCCAAAAGAGGCAAGCTATAAACATCTTCACACTGAATCCGTCCACACAAGATGCTCTCTCTTTTACATCCTTTATATTCTGTGCCATTATTAATGCCACAGTTTCCAAAACGATCACCTTGACTGTTCACTTCTCTGAAGCAGTCCTCTGAAGCCACTGTTGCTTTCTTGCCAAATATCATTTTGCACTGTTTGGTGTGAGTAGTGCAGTTGCCATGATAACAATATGCACCATCACTGCAAGGGGCACCATCTTGTACATAAACATCTTCAGGACACCACTCTGAAGTCCCATTACAGTACTCAGGAAGATCACAGGCATTAGTTCTTTTTCTACAAACGGTTGCAACTGGAAGATACTGACAATTGCCACAGCATTGTCCAAAGGCACAAGTGCCTCCTGGACGGAACATGCAATTAGACTGGCAGCACTTATCTGCTTTACACTGCAATTTTGAACCACAGTCACATTGTTCTCCATTCTCAACTATCTTGTTGCCACAAGATTTTAATCTGAACAGCTGACCATGTTCCGGTGGTATTCTCAAACATTCTGTATGACCTAAAGTCATGAGCCTATAATAAGAAATATAACTACAGTTACTAAACCTGTAAGTGTGGCTGTGATGTTCAGCCATAATACAGTTTGGTAGATAACAAGTACAATGTTTTTTATCATGAACCATGCCAAGATTGTGACCCAACTCATGAATGAAAACAAAAGCAAAAGAGGACACCTTAGATCCAGTATCTAATTCTATACCAGATGCATACTCAGGATCACAAATACCTCCAATAAATGCGAATCCAGCTCTTCCTGAAAATGTTTTATTCACAAATATATGACTTGCATCATGCCGTAGACGTGGTGCAAGGATATTTTTTCTCCAACGGTTGAAATCTTCAAGTGCCAATTCTAAATCATCAGTAAATGTTATGAAGTTCTTTTCTGACCATATCTCTAGGCCTACCAAGGCCACACGAACACCAAGTGAATTATAGACTAAATTTGCTGTATGAATAACATCCAAAACTCGCTGAGCAACAAGAGTTTCATTCTTGTGAAACCTCATATATAGTTCATTTTCTATTACAATTGCAATCTTTGCATATCTCACGTGTGTCCACCAGCCTCCAATAGAAGAAACTTTGAACATTGACTTTTTTGCATTCTGAATCATGGCCTCTTGACTTTTCTTTTCAGCTGTTACACCACATTTCAACTTGACACTATTTTCCTTTTCTTCCAAGTGATACAGCACATGTTGAAAGACTGCAGATGCCTGAATAGGCTCGATTTCATAGGTTTTGTTTTCTAATTGAAATAGACCTCGGAGTCCTCCAGAGCAAGTGTTGAGGATAACTAAAGATGAAGGTTTATCCTGTATGAAACCATGATAAAAACAGTCATTCTTGATGAAAGGATGATCAACCTGAAGCTCCCCATCCATACTGTAGGTGAAGATGGGGAAAGGTTCAAAAAGGAAGCCACTCTTGCGCCTGAGATGTACCACGTGGCCCTTCCTGTTAATCTGCAAAAAATAGGAGAGATCCCAGGATTCTTCTTGTTCATGTCTAGATCTGAGTTTCCTTGGAATGGTTACCTCGTAAGAGACATGCCTAGCGTCCAAAGGGGATGCCTGACCGACAGTCTCAATCAAGATATTACTTAGGCACACTACCAAGAGCCAGGAGCAATTTGTAGCCATTTTCAGAGAAAGGCCAAAGAAATATCCCAAGTGCTCTCATCCTGGCGTTATGAGTGGGATGGGAGAGAGGTGCCCTGTTCAGCAGCTGGCAGGTTGTGAACTGAGATGGGCATAGGGATGACAAAATGGAGAGAAGCAAGTACATTCTTTCTAAAGCAACTGTCAGTGGGCTTATCTTTAGAATGGGGGCGGAGCTTGATGAGTCAAGGATGGAATGGAATATTTTGAGACTGGCAAGAGAAAGATGGAAGAAGAAGATTGCAGAGGGATGGTAGGACAAAGCAGAAAATGTAAAAGCAACGTGTTAGGAAACCAAAACAAGTCAGCAACAGAAGAGTTGAAAACAAAAAGAGGGAAACTATATGGCAGGGGTCCTCAAACCTTTTAAACAGAGGGCCAGGTCACAGTCCCTCAAACTGTTGGAGGGCCGGATTATAATTTGGAAAAAGCATGAATGAATTCCTGTGCACACTGCACGTATCTTATTTGTAGCGCAAAAACACTAAAAAAAATTACAATAATTAAAAGTATTTCAATGGAAAGTGTGGGCCTGCTTTTGGCTGATGAGAAAGGATTGTTGTTGTTGTTGTGTGCTTTCAAGCTGTTTCAGACTTAAGCTGACCTTAAGCAAGGGCCGGGTAAATGACCTTGGAGGGCCATATCCGGCCCTCGGACCTTAGTTTGAGGACCCCTGCTATATGGGTTCAGAGTATATGGGGGCTCAAAGAATGTAGTTGAGAAACCAGGTAGACATACCTGTACTTTCTTTTTCTCAGTCAGTCAATTAGACAATCTAACCTATTATAATATCCTTTTAGCCTTGTTCAATAGCCTCTGTCCCCAAAGAAATTGAAAGATAAATCTCTGGCCAGAACTTTGTAACAGTTGTGTGTAAAACTACAGTAAGTGAGTACTACAAAGACAAAATAGTAGTCATCATTGCCCTGGGAATATCATCCTCACAGTGAAGTATGGTGAGGCACAATTGCGAGGAGACAGTTTTCTTTAGCAGGAGCTGGGAAACTGGTTAGGATTAAGGAAAAGGTAGATGGAGTCAAACAGGGAAATTGTAGATGAAAATATGTTTCAATCTGCAAGGGACCTGGGATTGTGACAGAGGTACACCTTCCAGTTGGATAGTGACTCTGAACACACAGGCAACTTGAATTGTTTAAAATGAAGAATATTAATGTATTCGAAAGGATGAGTTAAAGCAGCGGTTCTCAAAGTGTGCTCTGCTGAGCCCTTGGGGCACCACAAAGCATCTAGAGGAATTCCACGCTTCCCTCCTCTTCCCCTGCTGTAGTCCAGCCTGATTGCGGTCCAACCCTGCCTGCCTGCTTGCTTGCCTTTGCATAAAGGATTGTCCCTCCACAGCGCCTGTTCAGGAGTAGTACCATCTTCTTTCCTTCTCTCCCTCTCTTTCTCTATTAGTTCTTTCATGGCGGCATCATGGAATTTGTTTATGCTTATTTTTTCCAATTAGGTTGCTGTAAGTTTTTCGGGCTCTATGACCATGTTCCAGAAGTATTCTCTCCTGATGTTTCGCCTGCATCTATGGCAGGCATCCTCAGAGGTTGTGAGGTCTGTGAGGACAATGCTTCTGGAACATGGCGATACAGCCTGAAAAACTTACAGCAATCAAGTGATTCTAGCCATGAAAACCTTCAACAATACATTTTTTTCAATTAGTTCTCACAAACGCTCTCCATCCATCTGCCACTGGCCTGGCCCATCTGTCACAAAAGTTTGCCTATGCCTGATACATATACATTATATATAGTATCATATCATATATAAACATTTCTTGGGGTTCCACAGTGATTTTTTTGCTTCAGAAAGGGCTCTGCAGCTGAAAAGGTTTGAGAACCTGAGTTAAAGCTTAAACCTCCAATCTACACAAAAGTTGAAGGTCACTGTTTGCTAACAATCTTTATCCAATCCGAAAGAGCCACAGCAATTTTGCCAAGAAGAATGGACAAAAACTGTAGCATACATTAGACAAACAGGACTGTCTCTAGAACATGGATAAATGGATAGAAATCTGACATGAGAAATAGCAATACTTGTACCCAAAAACCAATTAGTAAAACATTTCAATCATTCTGGACATATAATAAGAGATTTACAGATCAGTCCTTAAAGAAGGAAACTGTAAAGGAAGATTAGAAAAACAGCTGAATTGAATTATAAGCACCAATTAACAATGTATAAACAATCACTTTGTGGTGTGTCAGATACATTAATAGAAGAGTTTTGTGCTGCTGCACAAAATAAATATTCACAGTTAGCCTTTCAAACTTAGGGAAACTGCCTTTTGGTAAGCAGAGATATTATTTTCACACATCCACACTGACCACAGGTTTGAAAAAAAAAACTATCACTTTTTCCAGTCCTTTGAAAATTTAGGGCAAGGGACATAAGTTCCACCTTTCTGGGTCCTATTATATTTTATTCCACTCCCACAACTGTGTAATTATGCATCTCATCTTAAGGCTTTAATATTCCTTTGCATTATATCTGGAAAAAAATGGGTTTACATCCACAACATCTTGTGTTAAAATTAAAACCGGCAAGTCTTAAAGGTGCTGCTACATTCCTTTTTTCTCTATTCTCTCCCTTCTAGCTGTTTTATATTTTATTGAGTAATTTGAAATAATATCTATGTAATAATTATCATGGTTGTGCATCAATAAAGCACTTTCTAAAGTACTATATTGTACAATGTGGCAAATAAAATTGTTATGTGATAATATATTAAATTGTCTGTTCCAAACAAACATAACTGCTCAGAATTGCAAATCAAGTCCTAAAAGAAAGCCAGGTGATAAATGTGGTCCTGATGCATGGATTATAAGTGTTCTCAAAAATAAATGTTTAGGGTTAGACTGAAGTGCAAGGCAGACTAATAATGAGTCAAAAAAGCAAAATTTGTAAATCAAGCTTTTTAATTAGACACATTTCACTATAGTAATCCTGTTGACATTTGAGAGTTCCTTAAAACCAGTTTGACTTTCAGATGCTGAAGTTCTCAAGTTTTACTACTACAGCATATATATATATAACACAAAGCTCCACTAGTCTGCACTGTTGTCTCCTGCAAAATCACACAAATCTGACTGAATTAGCACCTGCCACTCTAAATCAGACAAATATGTTGCTTTTCTGCTTGTAAGACCATTTACAAATAGACATAACATACCAGACCTGGATATAAAATAGCAGTGTCAGTCATTTCACAGATAGAGACTGCAATTCCCAGCTCAATTACCCATGATTAAATATTGCTGCAGTCAAAATGAGTGTTTGGGATTATCATAAAATGTTTCGCCGCTACTCAAAAACTATATACACAATTATATAAAACAGAGGGGATTGGCAAGGTCAGTATGTGGTAGAATATTTATGCTATGATTCTATGCAATTTTTGCTCTCGTGACCAAGACCTCTCTCAAACTCTAATGTTGATTATATCTTTAAAAAAAATTGAGTGAGGAGATTGTTGAGTGTGCAGTTTTGAGATGTTTTGTCTCTATAAGAATTTAAAGAAGCATCAGGAAGCTGACTGATTGCATTGGCATTATTACGATTCAGAGAACTGTTTATTAGAGTCTATACAAATGCATCATCCAGTTAGATTTGTCTTGGAGAGCACTCTCTTACTACTTTAATTTTGTCAGGCTTCCAGACATCTTTCATTTAACCCTTGCACAAAGTAGTCCCAGTATAAATTTTGCCTCCACAAAAAGGCATTTAGCAACAATCTTTTGTATTTACACAGGTGCAAATACTGTGTCAGGATGTGTCACCCATTTGCTTGAACATATATATATATATATATATATGAAATGGGTATGTCCAGGAATCCAGCTGAATTCCTTGAACAAACTCTGAAAACATCCAATGAAATTTTATTAATTGCCTGTACCCATGGAAATTATTTCAAGAAATATAATGCAGCATGACAATATTGTGCCAAAATGGTTTTGTTTCTTAAATATGAGTGTACTTGACCTTCAACAAGAATGTTTGGCTCTATTCAGAGAGCAGCATTTATAAATAAAAATATAACAAATAATTAGAATAAGGGACAAAATTGGAACTATTTTAAAGATATTATATACCCAACAGATTATTTATGTGACTTGTAAATAATATCAATGACACAGAACCTAATTTAAGTAAATGGAACTGATCTAACTCAGTGTTATGTTTATGTGACATTCCAAAGTAACTGTCATAAAAAGCCCTGTATGACAGTATCCCCAGGCATTACCACCTGCATGCCCTGTGTAATTTCTAAGAAGACGATAAGTCTACAAAACTAATTATATGCAGAAACTGCCTTTAAAAATTGTTCAGAGACCAATTTTATTTAACAGAAACAAAAATGCATTACTTGCATTGTAGTATACCACATCTTTTATATGGTCATCACTGTATAAGTGTTCGCAATTTCTGATTAGATACTTCAGAAGTCATCCTCATTTGAGAACTTACTGGAGTTTACCACTGGAAACATCAGTAAGCAAGCTATAGTCATTTCAATAATCCCATTGGTAAATTTCTTACAAAATTCCAACTCCAGCAATAAAAACAGCAAAAGCAGCAAAAGCATTTACAAGGCTTTGAATCATTCCAGTATTGCCACTGTTAGGTGGAGAGGGTCCACTGTCAATGCTGCCACCATAGCCTTCTTTTAGGCAATTAGGAGGGGCCCACCCATAATTACAATGACAATTTTTATGGGAATTGCATACTCCTCTGTTGTGGCACTTTGTGAGATTACAGTCATAGTTCAAGAGAGACACTTTGATACAATCCCTATTAACACATATCATACTATTGCCACACTTTGTGCCGTCTTTTACCGTTCCAGTATCATTTAGGTCACTTATACCCCAGCACAAATTGTTATTAACATAGGTTTGGATTATGGTGCTATTGTCACCTAAATTAGGAATTTCATCCACATTTATGCACTGGATTTTCCCACATAGCACACCACTGTTTTCACATTTCCTATAAGTATTACCAGTAATGCCACAATTCCCAAAACGGTCACCTTTAATATTTATTTCTCTGAAGCAACTTAGTGGGGCAACTGCTGCTTGTTTACCAAAGATTCTTTTGCATTGTTCATTGTGAGTAGAGCATTTTCCATGATAGCAGTAGGCACCATCATAGCATGGAGCTCCATCTTGTACATATGTGTCTTCAGGACACCATTCTGTAATCCCAGTGCAGAACTCAGGAAGGTCACAGACATTAGTCCTTCCTCTGCAAACCGTTCCAGCTGGAAGGAACTGACAGTTAGCACAGCACTTTCCAAAAGCACACGCGGCTCCTGGCCGCAACATACAATTGGACTGGCAGCACGCGTCAGATTCACAATGCAATTTTGAACCACAGTCACATTGTTCTCCGCTTTCTACCACTTTATTGCCACAGTTTTCGAGTTCATATAATTTCTCATGTTCTGGAGGAACCAAGAGACATTGTTTACTATTGCTGTTTATTACCTGAAAATAGCTGTCAAAGCTGCAGTTGCTGAAGCTACTTGTGTGGCTTTGGATCGGAGCCATGATGCAAGAACGCCGGTTACAAAAGCAGCCCTTTTCATCATGTCGCATGCCGAGGCTGTGCCCCAACTGATGGCTGAAGGTGATAGCGAAAGATAGCATGCTGGATGTGATAAACGCCTCCACGGCAGACGCCCAGGTAGGATCGCACACCGATCCTACACAGGACGTCCCGAGCGTCGTTCCAAAACGCTGATATACAAATAAGTGGCCGACGTCGTGCCTTAGATGCCGGATGAGTGTTGTTTGCCTCCAGCTGTTGAAAGCGCCAAGGAGTTCGCTCATGCTCTTCGGGATCGCCACGAGGTTCTTTTGTGACCAGATCTCCAGACCAACAAGGACCACGCGGACCCTCAAGGGCTTGTAGAGCGAGTCCGCCAAGTGGATGGCCTCCACCACTCTCTGGCCCACCAGTGTGTCGTTCCTGCCAAAGTGGACATACAACGCGTGATCCACCACAATTGCCACTTTGACATACCTAGTGCGCGTCCTCCAAAGGTCCCCGGGGGACGTTTTGCTTATGAGGTGGACTGGAAGCAGGGCTTCGGGGCAGCTTTCGTCCACGGTGAGCCCACACCTCATTCGCCCTTGTCCCGCATCGTCTTCCAAGCGATACACCACGTGCTGGAAGGTGGCTGAGTCCTGGACGGGCTCGATTTCGTACAGCTTCCGCCCCACCTGCAGGAAGCCCCTGAAGCCCCCTGAGCATGTACAGAAGGCCGCCATGGAGGAGGTGGGCCTGCCTTGGAGGGCTCCCTGGTAGTAGCAGTCCTCCCTGAGGAAGGGGAAGTCCACCTGGCGCTCGCCCTCCTCGCTGTAGGTGAAGACGGGCAGGTGCCTGGGGAGGAAGCCCCTCGCCGGCCTCAGCTCCACCACCAGGCCCGCCCCCTCCACCTCCAGCAGGTAGCTCCGCTCCTGCGGCCCAGACGACATCTCCCTCGGCACCATCACCTCGAAGGAGGCAAAGCGAAGGCCTGGAGGAGAGGAGGAGGAGGCGGAGGCCTGGCGGGGGCTCCACAAGGCCAGCGCCAGCCACACCAGGCCCGCCCCGACGCCGCCTCGCATCTCTCCCCCCCGGGCCTGAGCGGGAGGACGGCCGGGCCCCCTCCTCCTCGCCACCGCCGCCTCCCTCGCCTCCGTCGTCGTCGTCGGGGCGGGAGGAGGAGAGCCGCCATGGAGCTCACAGGCCTCGCCGGCCTTCGCTCACCGGCTTTCTTCCCTTCTGCCGTCGAACTGAGTGGAAAGAAGGAGGGAGGGGGCGGGGCGGAGAAGGCGGGGACAGGGCGGGCCTAGCCAGGTTGCTGGGCCAACGCGCCTCTCTTCAAACAGGCCTGGGCACACTTGGGCCCTCCCCCCAGGGGTTTTGGACTTCAACTCCCATCATTCCTCACAGCCTCAGGCCCTTTCCTTTCCCCCCTCAGCCGCTTAAGGGCCTGAGGCTGTGAGGAATGATGGGAGTTGAAGTCCAAAACCCCTGGGGGGAGGGCCCAAGTGTGTCCAGGCCTGTACTAAACATTTGGAAGAACATTCTAACGGTAAGACCAGTTCAATAGAATGTGAATGGCTCTTAATGTGCTTCAGTCTTCCTCTCTGGTGTTCAAAGAGGCGGGGTGGCCCTCTGTCAGGAGTGCTATGGTTGTTCCTGTGTGGCTCTCCAACTCTGAGGCTATGACATGTAAGGCAGTGTGTGAGGAGCCATGAACACAGGCATGGGCAAATTTGGCCCGCCTAACAGGCTGGGTTGCTGTGAGTTTTCCAGGCTGTTCCAGAGGCATTCTCTCCTGACATTTCACCTGCATCTGTGACAGTTGAGGGATCTGAGTTGCCTGAGGACTGAGAAAAGCGGTATATAAATAAAGTAAATAAATAAATAAATGTTGGAAACTAGGCAAGTGAGGTTTCAACAGGGTGAGGCAGCATAACTACCTTTTTTCAAAACTTAATAAAACCCATTGTATGAATCAGACATATTTTTTATAATGTAGGCGCATTCCTAAAGTTTTGTTTTACGTAGTTTTGAAGATCAAATTAGATAAATGACGTCCCCCATTCTCCATTCTCCATATACTGAGTAAACCGATTTCCGGCGTTTGTCATGACTCTTGCCAGCATAGCAGTTGTTGGCAGTTTCTTCCAGGATGTTGGTCTTCAAATCTTGTAGGGTCCTTGGACGGTTCACATAAACATGGGATTTCAAAAAACCCCATAGAAAAAAATCACAAGGGGCCAAATCTGGAGAGCGGGCCGGCCACTCCAAATCTGCTCGAAAAGTAGGCCACAATGGCAAAAGCACGCTCCTCACTGTTCCAACGCATGATAGCGACTGAACTGTGTCAGAACAAAACTTTATACTCCCGCCTCTCGAATGAGATCACTAGCACTCCGCTACGCCTTCAACCAACTGAATAGCGCGCATTTTAAAAAAGGAAGTTATGCTGCCTCACCCTGTATATCTGTGGAAGGTCTAGGGTGGGAGAAAGAACTCTTGTCTACTTCATGGAAGTGTGAATGTAGCAATTGGCCAGCTTGATTAGCATTTAATGGCATTGCAACTTCAAAGCCTGGTTGGTTGCTGCCTGGGGGAATCCTTTGTTGGGAGGTGTTAGCTGCCCTGATTTATTCTTGTCTGAAATTCCTCTGGTTTTTTTTTTTTTACTGTTGCTCTTTATTTACTGTCCTGATTTTAGAGCAGGGGTCCTCAAACGAAGGCCTGAGGGCCGGATACAGCCCTCCAAGGTCATTTGCCTGGCCCTCACTCAGGGTCAACCTAAGTCTGAAACAACTGGAAAGCACACAACAACAACAACAACAATCTTACCTCATCAGCCAACAGCAGGCCCACACTTCCCATTGAAATACTAATAAGTTTATATTTCTTAAAATTGTTCTTCATTTTAATTATTGTATCATTTTAAAGTGTTTTTGCACTACAAACAAGATACGTGCCGTGTGTATAGGAATCCATTCATGCTTTTTGCAAATTATAATCCGGCCCTCCAACAGTTTGAGGGACTGTGACCTGGCCCTGTTTTAAAAGTTTGAGGACCCCTGTTTTAGAGTTTTTTAAATATTGGTAGCTAGATTATGTTCATTTTCATGGTTTCCTCCTGTCTTGAAATTGTCCACATGCTTCTGGATTTCAGTGGCTCCTCTGTGTAGTCTGACATGATGGAGTGCTCCAGCATTTCTGTGTTCTCAAATAATATGTTGCATCCAGGTTGTTTCATCAGGTGATCTGCTATGGCTGACTTTCCCCAGGCAGCAACCAACCAGGCTTTGAAATTGCAAGGCTATTAAATGCTAATCAAGGCAGCTAATTGCAACATTCACACCTGCCTCAAGCAGATATGAGTTCTTTCTCCTACCCTAGACATTCCACAGATATATAAACTTCACTTACCTAGTTTCCAACAGACCCCTCAACCTCTGAGGATGCCTGCCATAGATGTGGGTGAAACGTCAGGAGAGAATGCCTCTGGAACATGGGCATACAGCCTGGAAAATTCACAGCAACTGAGTGATTCTGGCCCTGAAAGCCTTTGGCAAGCCAGTAGGCTGATAGGAATTGTGGGAGTTGAATTCGAAAACAACTGTAGGGCCAAAGTTTGTCCATGCCAACAGGTTTCTCTTCTTCGTAAACAACCAGAAGAACTGAGGGCACAAAGTCCTGACGCAAAACAATGAGGACCATATCAGGTCAACCCAAAATGCACAATATTAATGTATTTATTGTATTGATATGCAATGATTTTTAATTTTTATTGATTTAATGTGTGTGTGTATTGTATTTATATGTTATGTGTGTATGGCATTACATTATTGCCAGTTTGGAAGCTGCTCTGTGTCCCTTCTAGGGTGAGATAGAGCAGGGTAAAAAATATAGTAAATAAATAAATACATCATAAGAGCTTTCTAACCTCCACCGGCTTCTTCATCAAGCCCCGGGGTGTTAAAAAATCAGAAAAGAGGAAGTCCTACACATATTTACTTGGAAGTAATAATCTTGAAGCCAACGAGGTTTGCTTCAGAATTGTTTGAGTTCACTATAGGTATGTTGATATGCACACTGTTCTGATGCTGTGGGGCATCAAGGAAGGCCTATTAAAAACTGTCTGGTGCCCACGTCTCTGTCTGTAAGCTTGTGTTGTCTTCATATTGCACTAGTTCTGCTTCCTCATCTCCAGTAGCTGAACTCTACATTCCCAGATGTTCAACAAGGCATGCAGATTCCCTACAGACAATTCATAGAATTAGCCTCATAAACCATTTCTGTAGATAACGGGGATTGCAACCAAATTTATAAGTAAGAGCAGAAGGGCAAAGCTTACTGAAAGTAACTAAGAGAAAGAAACAAGCTCTTTGTAGTTGTATCAAATCCATTTAACAAAACCTTTCCTGAAGTGCTCTTCTTGTTCTACCTTTGTCTATTATCCTTTCCTTTCCTTTCCTATCCATCTTGTTGTTAATGCCCCATATTTCAAACTCAACTAAGAGTTGCCTCAACCATGTAGAAAACAAAAGGGAAAGGGATTTACATCACATTACCTTTTGTGGAGGCAAGATGAAAATACAAATTTATTGCGAGTAGGATAACAGACATAATATAGAAGCACCTCTAGTGGTTCAGACGAGAGTGTTTCTCATATACAGCAATTTCCAGGAAGCCTACAAACCACTCAAGAAAACAATGCTTTCATCCCATTTCTTTTGTTTGCTTTCATCATTCTGAACACTTGGGTGACTTGATTTCTTCTGTATCTTTTGCAGCTACTTATCTAATTTATCCTATTGCTACATTTATGTTGAGGACTATATGACTTCACTAAAATACACAGAACCTAGGCCACTATCTGCATTAAATGGTATAGCTTTTTGTTAAAGCATCAGCAATGGGATTGCAATAAGATGAATGGAAAATTTCAGACAATTTGTAGTAAATATAAATAAAAATAGATTACTCTGGCAAAAAAAATCCTAACTTAATGAAAATAGATCTTCCTCTTCATAAGTAACAATGCACAGAACCTGGTTCCTATCCTCATAAACGACAAAAGATGTGTGTTATTGACAAATGATCACACAATTTATAAACTTGCAGAGCATTCCGGTACTGCTCTACAAACCAAGTATCTATGCTAAAACAAGAAAAGGAATATCCAATTCAGCTGCAAAACAATGAAGTAGCATTCTTTCCTTCATATCTCTTTCTGATTAATTTGGAAAAGATAACTTACAAACTATTTAGATAAGAATGAATGAATGAATTGTTTACAGGCTGGAACAATGACTTGCTACCTTGTTATTTGTTATAAAAAAACCCAGCTATAATAGTTTTCAAAATTGAAACTTTATTTTGTTTTGAAGTTGGGATTTTTGTTTTGCATTGATACAATACAGAAATAGAATAGAGAAGGAAACAAGCAGCTAAAATCCAGCTGAGTATTTAAGAGTAAAAAAACCTGCAATGTAAACATCTAAACACAGGACATTTTGAAAAGGGATTTAGTATTACACCCGTTTAATAATCAAGCCAGGTAGTACTGCAAAGTAGGTACTGACTATTTTATAAAGGATAAAATTATAATTTCTTCATTGCCAGTAAGGTTCAGACATTTAAACATACTGCCCTACATATAAATAATCTCATCAGAGGGAAAACTGATCTGGGCAGTCGAAAATACATGATAAAATTATAGTGTATTTCTTCCAGAGTCACTACTCTAAAGTTTTCAGGTTCCTGGGTTAAATAAATGCTGAAATCTCTTGCGTATAAGTCCCACTTTCATGCATTCTTTATATACACAGTATATTGCAATCTCACTGAACTAATTCAGTGTCTACCTACTGCTATTCCTCAGTATTTTGATACATGTCACAAATAAAACAAACAGCACTTTTTTTCCAGCCCATCAAAAATGGACTAAAATTAAATAACTAATCATATATGGCGAAATTAGCAGTTCTTAAATCTTGCACAATTATCACAATAGGAATCTCAATTTTCCATTTCGATGTATGTCAAGGAGATGTTGAAAATGGGAAAATTCAGCCTGCACCAGACTTCTGAATACATTGACTAAATAAAGCAAATAGTATATATTTTCTTAGGGCCCTTCCAGGCAGGGCCTATATCCCAGGATCTGATCCCAAGTTTTCTGCTTTAAACTGGATTATATGAGTCCCCACTGCCAGATAATCTGGGATAAACAGAAAACCCATGATCAGATCCTGGGATATAGGGCCTGTCTGGAAGGGCCCATAGTGAAAATCTTCTGCCAACTAATTTCTTCACAAGTCCCACATTGTAAGAGCAGGCATCCAGCTAGTGAGTTACAATAGCCCAAGTCAAACACACACTACCATAACCCACGTTTTGGCTCATTATATAGGTCAGAATTCTTTACAAGACGGACAACTGAGGGGGAAAAAATCTCCTTAAAACCAGTTTTTAAGTGAGATAGCCATTTCTATGGCATGGAAGAATTTATGATGATCAGGGGATGTGTAGTGAAAGTGACATTTGGAGGTCCCGCTCTATCCCTGTTGCAGTGTATTCAGATACAGGAAAGCAGTTGGGCGTGTCGGTTGATCCTCCCGTTCTTAAATGATAAAGACACTGCTATATTGGGGAGAGGCTGCAACACTTGAAATATGAGTTTTGGAGAATAGAACTGGGAGACATAATTATGAAGGCATAACTAGATGTAAGATGCACAGGATTCCAGACAATATTGATCTTATTCATATGATGATCATAATATGATCAATAAATTAGCTGGTTTGTTGTTCTTTGTCATTTTGCAAATCATAACTTGACAAGGTGAAACATGGAAAACTGCAGTCCAAAAAGCTCTGGAGGGCATCAGGTTTTCTACTCCCTAGCTTTATAGGAGGCAGAGATATTTCTTCCAGAAAAAGAATGATAAAAAAATATCAAAAGTTTCCAAAAGCAAATTCAAAAGATACAAGATTCAGCTTTGAACATTAAGACTGAAATCCATTCTTTCTTGTGTACGTAAAGCTTTGCAAGGAAGCCTTTAAAATTCAGAGGTGAAAACAACATGATGCATTCAAGCTGAAATGTCATAGCTCCCCATATGGCACTACAGATAACATATCTGTGCCCCTAGTTGTCTAAATTAAGTTAATGTCCTTTCTTTCACTGCAGTCTCATCCTTTTTTCTGGTGGTGCCTTAGTACTACTGCTCTGTTGTGTGGTCTTGACACTTTCTTTCTCCTCTTGTTTCACTGTTTCAGGGGCTGGTTCTGGCTCCTTGATTTGATCCACTGCAAAATAAATAAAACACATGGAATTAATGGCAATGGCTCTTAAATATCTGGTTGTTCTGCAAGAAATTTATCAAGTTATTTAAAAAAGATATTAGCGAAAGTACTATTTGGAATTTGAGCAAGGAGAATCCCATGAACAGGTTCATTCCAATTCTCCCTTTGCTGGGACAAAACATTTCAACCAATTACACAATAAAGGTTCTTGACCTATGGGAAAGCAGCTCTTTGGATGTGCTAGTTTGCAAACATCCTGCTAAGACCCCAAGACATAGGCCCTAAAGCCACTACTGCAATGCAAAACTATCAGAACATAGACATTTTATCTGAATTGCTGCATTCAGATTTTCTCTTCTGACAAGGTGAACCAAGTCTTACATCTAGGATAATTTATAAAGTGAGAAAATGAAGCTAGAGGGATCCTCCAAGTCCCAGTACAGCAGAGCTATATATACACAAGAGATGTAGTGAACATGTCCTTAGATGTAAGCAGTAGTAGTCTTCCCACGTGTCCCAAATAAAAGTAAGCCAACATAATTTCTCTATGTTACCTTACTGAAAACTGGATTAAATCCTTACCTGGGATGGGTTTTTCTCCTTGCTTTTGCTGTGAATTAAAAAAAAAGGGGGGGGGGGGTGAGTTATGAGTTTAAAAATATACATGCAATGCCTACCCCTGACATAACTTTTATTGTTGTACAGAAAAGCAAGAGTACGTAAGAGAATAAACCGGTCCACCACATATATTTTGCCTCACATCTATGACTATATTTATAAAGGAACAGAATGGTAGTCATACAGAGGCAAGCTTTCTGCTATTTTCAAACTGGGATATTCTGAGAAGGACTTTGGACAGACATAGTTCATTATATAAACTCCCCTTTCCCCTTTGCATACATAATTTCATAGGCAGGGATTAGTCAATTCAGATGAATAACATCATAACTGATTATCCATCCCTCCTGGAAAGAATAATATAGTGTGCTAAATAATAATAATAATAATAATAATAATAATAATAATAATAATAATAATAATAACTTTATTTTTATACCCCGCCAACCATCTACCCTAGGGGACTCGGGGTGGCTTACAAGGGACACGCCCAAGATTGCAATTAAAACACACATGTAAAACACTTTAACCAATTAAAGCATCAGATAAAACAAGTAACACAATTGAAAGCAATATAAAAACAATACGGCTGAAAGAAACATAGCTGAGATACAGATTCAATGAGTGCAATACATTTTTACAGGAGTGCAGGAAAGTGCAACAATATAGTAAACTGGGCAGAAAATACTGTCATAACACATGTTGAGGGGGTTCAGCTGAACTAAATTTTTAGTATGCTGTATTTCTTCTACAAAGAAAGCCAGTGTAATGTCGTGATTTGAGTGAAGTATTTTGACTTTTCACACAGTCTCCTTGAAACAGAATATGGCCATGCAATGTTCTGCATCTTAACTGGTACCTGCACAAATTTAGGAGGGAATTTGTTTCTGAGATCTAGAAGCAATGAATCCACACGGTGTCTCTGGAAAATGGAGCTGGGTTCTTCCTTCTTCTTGGCTTTTGGTTTAGCCTTATCTGAATAGGAAATCATAGGAGTCAATTCCATCAGAACATTTTTAATTGAATATTTTCCACTAAACTTAAGTATCATATTTTCTAAAAATGATGAAAAACTGTAAGCAATTAAACATGGATAATATGAAAGCTAAAATGAAAGAGGATCAGAAAAACTACATATCCTTTCCAGTTCCTATTTTCTAAAAAAACACTCCACTCCCCGCCCCACAGAAACCAATAGAACAAACAGAATTATTTTGCAAAGCGCATATACTGAACATAATACTAGAATTTAGGTCAAAGAAGAGTGAAATAGTACATGTTAAAGACCGGAATATTTGGATAGCCTACCTCGTTCTTCTTGATCTTTGAAATGCCACCAATAGCCTTTTGAGGGATGATAGCGGCAGTAAGACATAGCTTCTTCAAAAGCTGACTGGATTCCATGTACTGCAGTTAGCTGGGAAAATACATTATTGAAATGTATGGTTTTTCTCCTGGCACTAAACATTTGCAAGCAAAACAGCTCAACTCAATCTAATTTCTTTTTATAAACAGATAATCTAGTGGCTTGCTGTGAGTTTTCCGGGCTGTATGGCCAAGTTCCAGAAGCATTCTCTCCTGATGTTTCACCCACTGAGGATGCAAAAGGTCAGGAGAGGATGCCTGCCATAGATAGGAGTGAAATGTCAGGAGAGATGCTTCTGGAACATGGCCACACAGCCTGGAAAACTCATAGCAACCCAGTGATTCCGGCCATGAAAGCCTTCGACAACACATACATACTCTAGTATTCTGAACTTGTTTGGCCTACAGTCTTTAGGCATACACTTTGAAGCAGAGATGGGAAGGGGAAAGGAGAGGAAGGTACTACAACTGGACTGGCTACACTGCAATGTGAGACTGCCACTCCTATCAGCCTCAGCCAAACATCATCAATGGTAACAAATGGTGGGAAATGTAGTCCAGTTGGAGGGTGACACTTCATTTTCCCTTATACTAGAAACTCTACTCAATAAATAAAGCACTGAAGTTCTTAAAAGACATGGGAAATAGGAAAGGGAGTTTGAGAATGCTCGGAAGACTACACACAGATCATCCTAGGGGCATTACTGAGATTCCTCTCCCTTCTAAATTTAAAAGGTTGTAATTACTGAAATTGCCTTTCAATCTACAGTCCCCTTTTGTGGAAAATCTTTCACAGACAGAAGTAGAAAACAGAAACTAACGTTCAAAATATTCTACATTAAAAGTAAAAGTACACCACACAGTAGGTTATAGTCCAAAACACCTCAAAATCTTCCTGTTTTAGACATGTGCATGTGTTTGTAATATAAAATCAGAAATACCATTTTCTCATAAGTGTTCTCCTAAATCCAAGGACAGAGAAATAGAAAACAACCAAAAGTACTGCACTGATAATTGAGTTGTTTTACCAAAAAATATAACACAGAGTCTTACCGCTCTAGAATTTACAACCGATCCAAGATCAGGTGCCTGATAAATCACTCCAGCAATAATGTAGTAATCGGCCAATGGAATAACTATAAAAGAAATTGAAGTTTTGTACACCATTCAAAACAATCTAGCCAAGCAGTTACTAAACCTGCTTAACTCACTGTTCACACAGTAATGAAAGCTAATTTGTATTCAAACAATATTTATTTCATATTTTTAGTATACAATTTTTTCTTCAAACAGATAAGGCAGTTCAGTTTGTCTATCACTTGTTCATTTTTTTCCTTACAGTCACCTTGCAAGGTTAATCTGACAGCTGCTGACTTCCTAGAGGTTATCCAGACAGTTTATTGGTCAAATTCATACTTGAACACAATTTTCTCATTCTTAGTCTAAAAGTCCAAAACAGTATGCCACACTGGTTAAAAAGAAAAGGAGAATATCAGCACTGTAAATGGAACATTGCAAGCTTATATTTAAACACATAGACCATTCAAGGTGGCCACTGATATGGAAAGCACTATTAGGAGTCTATATTCAGAACAAGAGAATGATTTTTCCCAGATTGTATGTATGAAAGTTCAGTAGGCTGTGGAAACCATTTTAAAGATAAGAACAAGAACTTTAAAACTTGCGGGGGACGGGGGGGGGGGAGGAGCTGCAGTTATTAATCTCAGGTCTAATCAACCCTTCTTTACATTGTGTGACAAATCCTGAACACATGGGCATGCCTTTCAAACTGTGATAGTGAGGGGCTCAGTGGCACCATGCTGCTTCCTGCTGCCTCATCTTTCCTTCTCTTAAGAAATACAAGGAAATTAAAGTTTTGAGCTGCCAAAAACAAAAACAGAAGCATCATCTGTTGGAGGTGCTTTGATTGTATTCTTCCTGCATGGCAGAAGGGGGTTGGGACTGGATGGCCTCTGGGGTTTTGATGATGATGATGGTTACTACTACTACTACAACAAAGGCTGGGTGGTCATTTGTTAGAGGTGCTTTGGGTGTGCTTTTCCTGCATGGCAGAAGGGGGTTGGACTGGATGGCCCTGGGGGGTCTTCCACTGAAATACTCTTATGAATGGTTAAAATTATTCTTTATTTTAAATATTGTATTGTTCTTTTTTCCTTTCCTTTATTTGCATTGTGTAGATTAGTTCACACAAACACTCTCCATCCATCTGACAATGGTGCGCCCCATGCCTGAAATATATAAATTACCTATAATATAATGTATAAATGTCTCTTAGGACTCCTCAAGAAACTTTTGTTTCAAAAAGGGCTCCACGGCTGAAGAAGTTTGAGAACCCCTGCTTTAGGCTATTGCAGTTTCATGCAACGAGCTGGATATTATTAATATTGTGTTATTATTAAAGTAAATTTGAAATGCTAGCTCAATCCTCTAGACCAGTGGTTCTCAACCTGTGGGTCCCCAGATGTTTTGGCCTTCAACTCCTAGAAATCCTAACAGCTGGTAAACTGGCTGGGATTTCTGAAAGTTGTAGGCCAAAACGCCTGGGGACTTACAGGTTGAGAACCACACTCTAGCCAATGTTGGAAACAGGTACACACATAGTCTTGGGTATGAACAATTATAGTGAAAACATTCAGAACCTTTGAAGAGATTAAATAAATATGTCAAGAGGCATAATAAGGAGAAGTTAAAATGACATTATTTCACTGGCACTATTAGCCTTTTACCACAAGAGGGCATCTCCTTATTATTACAAAAAGGAGATTTTAAAGCAGTGCATCTCAAACAGCCCTGAAGCTTTTTTGAATTTCAGCTCCCAGATCTCTCTCAGTCCTGACCATCTAGGACATTTGCTAGACCAAAGATTGTGACTCACAACTGCAGGGCATACTTCATCTATTCAAGAGCCTCCAATCATGTTGGATTACAACTCTCTTTATCTCCAGCCACAATGAACAATGGAGTGGCTACTTGAAAAATATCCAGGAACACAATAAAATGTAATAGGAATGGCATTCTCCTTCTTTAGGTAGCCATAACACCAACATCATCAAAGAACCCCCATGTTTCTCCATTTTTTCAATCACATCAAGCTGCTAAAAGGCACAGGAGATGGAATGTGCTCCTCTCGTATTTTCAAATCTCGAGCAACTTGATCAAGTGAGCAAACAAAGGGATATGAAAAGTTTGCACTGATCTTCTGATCTATAGGGACTCTAATACAGTGTTATTCAAAATGGTGGTCCATGGACTGGCATCAGTCCAAACACCACCAGCTGCCAGTCCCTGGAAACCTTCAGGAAACAAGAAACAATTGCCATCAATCAGATCAAATATGGTGCAAGTTCCCAGAACCGTTGTGGACAGGAGGGATTACTGGTCTCCCTTGGGGAGAGAGGGCGGAATATGAATAAAGTTTTATTATTATTATTAAACAGCTTAAGAAGCACTACTCTTGTGCATCTCCTACACCAGAGTTTCTCAAACTGTGTGCCTCCAGATGTTTTGGATTTCAGCTCCCACAATTCCTTTGTTGTTCATTCATTCAGTCGCTTCCAACTCTTCATGATCTCATGGACCAGCCTACGCCAGAGCTCCCTGTTGGCCATGGCCACCCCCAGCTCTTTCAAAGTCAAGCCAATCACTTCATGGATACCATCCATCCATCTTGCCTTTGGTCAGCCCCTCTTCCTTTTTCCTTCCATTTTCCCCAGCATCATTGTCTTCTCTAAGCTTTCCTGTCTCCTCATTATCTGGCCAAAGTACTTCATCTTTGCCTCTAATATCCTTCCCTCCAGCAGGCTGTCGGGCTAACAGCTGGTAAACTGGCTGGGATTTCTGAGAACTGAAGAATTAAACACCTGGAGGAGCACAGTTTGAGAAACACTGTCCTTCACATTTGCTGATGGACTATTTGCTAAATATATCTACCTGTGAGTATTCTAAGTACAGGCAGTCCCCGAGTTACAAACATCTGATTTACAAATGAATCATAGTTAAGTACGGAGGTGAGAGAACAGAAAGTGATAGAAATCTACCCTTTGGAAAGGAAATTCACTCCTGAAAGAGTTATCATCATGGGGAAAAGATGTCTCCACTGAAGCTTTATCCCCAATCCTTGTTTCCACAGTAAGCCAAATATTTCAAAATCCACTTATCACAGGGACAGAAAGTGAGGTGAAATCTTCTGAACAGGGGCACAGACAGCAAAACAAATACCACAGGGGTGTTAACCCTTCCCTATGCTACCCAAAACTACAATATGGGTATTTTTGGCTGGAGTTATACTTTTAAAAGTACATGTTCCAACTTACAAACAAATTCAACTTAAGGACAAACATACATAACCTATAATCTTCATAACTTAGGGACTGCCTGTATAGCTGTTTGCTCTTTTGCAATGAGAGTGCCGTGTAAATCCTTACCTTGGGTTGGACTCTGTCTTTGTTGCTTACGAATTATGAAAAGAATAGGCTCTTGTGCATGGAGAAGGATATACTCTACTCCAACCATTTGACTGAAAGAAAAACGAGACTGTATTAGAAAATACAGCTCATTCAACGTTAATGAAAAAGATGGAGAAAATACATGAAAGGACAAGATTTATATGGCTGGAACATTATTGCAAGTGTAAGCAACAATTTCTCACAAACAAAGGGCCCTTCCAGACAGGCCCTATATCCCAGGATCTGATCCCAGGTTTTCTGTTTATCCTAGATTATCTGGCAGTGAGGACTCTTAAAATCCAGTTTTATGCAGAAAACCTGGAACCAGATCCTGGGATATAGGGCCTGTCTGGAAGGGCCCTGTGTCATCTTAGAAATTATTACTGATCTAATGCCAGCAAGTGCAAAATAAAGGGTCAGGGAGTTTTTTAGGTAACCAATTACTAATGAGAGCACTGCAGTTGTTCTCTCGGGAGCACCAGTTTCAAAGTAAGAAGAAATATGACTGCATTCCTTGGTTTCATTAGTATGATTTCATTGTTCATTTTGAAAGTTCTCAATAGACTTCTCAGAATACTTTCTCCTCGGGATTTTCGATTTCGAGTTGGATGAAAACAAAGACAGACTCCTTTTCCACATGATGACGGCAGCGAGGATTGTGGTGGCCAAAACTTGGAAAAAGAAAGAAACCCCAACGACGGATGAATGGACACATAAACTATTAGATATAATGAATATGGACAGTTTAACAGAATACTTGAAAAGTATGCAAACAAGGACGAAAAACAAATCAGACTGGTCTCCAGTCAAAACCTATCTAAATATTAACTAAGAAAGTAAAAGAAGAAGCCCGCGCAGGAAATCCTATTTGGCATATATACTAACCAGAACAATGGACCCCAATCAGTAGACTTATACCACCAATATTGCTCCTCTCTAACCCTCACCCCCCGCTCACCTCCCCACCTCCACCCTTGCACATTTCCCAATCCCTTTAACCACCCCCCCTACCTCCCACTTCCCCCCCTACCCTACCCATACCTCTACCTACTTATTTCTTTTTATCTTATACCTAGTCAATGATTGACATCCCCTTAATGTTCCCCCTTTAAAATCTTCAATAAAAATCTATACAAAAAAAAAAAAGAAAGTTCTCAATAGACTTGTGTAATAATAATACTCATGGATGAAGTGCTCTGTAATCCCACAATAGTTATACTTTGTTGGTTTCAATTTAGGATCTAATTAAAAAGATACTTTGTTGCATCAATTTAGCAATGCTAAAATATGCAGGCATTTGAGTTACACAAAATTGTGCCATCAAGAGATAGGTAATTTATTCCTTAGGAATATGCAATAAAGTGAATTAACAATGCAAAGTGTTTTCAGTATTGGAAAACAACAGCTTAACGATTTGACTACCATGTTATTACATATGCAGAAAAAGTTTGAAAGCACTGGCAAATAAAATGTATGAAGGTTTAAGACAATTAAATGTATGTTTATTAATACTTTAATTTAAAAAGGAGTGAGGCATGATAAAAGAATATAAATTCCTTCTTACACTTATTCTACTTCAGGACATATTACATTAAATTATAATTGATCAATCCAGTAGACTAAATGAAACATGAACAATTTACTAAATGACTTCAATTAATCTGCTTAATGTTTAAATTCTATTCAGTACCTGTTACCTTTGGTAATTAGTTCCTATTCCAGTATTCTAAAAATAACCAAGCAAATGGCATTCCAGAGTTGTTTCTCAAAGCTCCCTAAAAATATGTGATCTTGCAAATTAAAATCCTATGCCATGTTCTTCTTTCCCAATGCTATATGGATGCAGAATGCTATTTCCTCCCACCTTTCATGCTCCAGTGACGGTATTACAATCGGATTATCTATTGTTGGCTCATACTCAACCATACATGTTTCTTAAAGTAAACACACACATATATCTAGAGACAAATAATTTAGAAGTAGGCACACATACATCAGATGATAATTTGACACAGTTTTGCAGCATTTAACAATTTTATAAACAGAATTGTTGAATACAAAATGCTTCATCCAAAGTAATAATAAAAATAATAACAAAATAAGAAAGCAAGCTGGGAAAATGTCTTCTGCTTGTATAAAAATTCAACTTCAAAACAAACTAGGATCAGTGTGGGAAGAAATTCCAAATGGTCCCTTGGTTTGCTACCCCAATTGTCAGCACTGTAGATCCTTCACAAAGGCTGAAAAGTTCAATCCTGACAATGTAATCCCTATACATGTCTATGACATAAGCCTCATGGAATTTAACAGGATTTACCCTCAGTTAGACGAGCATATAATGCATCCTACAAATAGGTTTATGAGGTTACCATTACACATGCCTTCCAGTAACTTACTTCAAGTGATCCAAAGTTAGCCTTTGCATCTTGACCATTTCGTTGTTGCATGTTCGGTCATAGAACGGATTACTACGCTCTGAGAAATAGTCCAATACACTCCCACTGTTCAATATTGGAATCCAAGCGCTGTCGACCCAAGAAATTCCCAGGAGGTTATCTGGGAGTCAGAAAAAGGACAGAGAAATAAAAGTATTTAGCACAAATACATCAATAGCAAGTCATTCTCAAAAGCTTATTTACCGTAACTACAGTAAAAACAGACTGCAGTTAAGATTGAACTTACCAGTACCTGAAATAGCCACCATTTAACAAAACATAACTTACAACACTTAACTTATAAAACTATATCATTAATAAATGACTTAGTTGCTTTTTCTTAAGAGCAAAGACTTCTGGCATCATACAACCATCAATAAGAAAGCAAAAACCCCAGAAACGGTGTGTCTACAATATAAAACCACACATCTCCTTTAATATAATGCACCTTAAAGTAGAGGAGAGCTAATTTGACTGGGCTGGGGTCAAATTTTTATCCCCAGCAACAAGAAAACAGTAATTCAGAAGCAGAAATAACTGGACAACCATTTTTAATTTTGATTTTTGGGGTATGGATGTAGAAGGCACCCCTTAAGCTCATGGAAAAATCTCAGTGACAGCACAGTCCAACCCAAAAAAATTCTTCATGACTTGGTTTTTAGATCTGTTCCCGGGATTATTTGGGGCACTAATTCAGAAGATTGCAGTGGATAAGACCACATCAGATCCGCTCTAGCTTCTTAGATATGGATATCATGATTTTTTAAAATAGGTGAGCAGATGAAGACTCATATATGGCATATGTTAAGTATCTCAAAAACTAGAGCTGACAGGGGAAAACTAGTGCCATTTTTCGAATGAGCTGGTTATACCCAGAAACTGTTCTAACATTTGAGACACCAAAATGTGTGTTGGACAGTGTATTAAGTGAATATGTCCATGATGAACTTGGAGACTGCAAAATGCTGGAAGACACAACAGTTCTGAAAAAATATAGAAAATACCTCTGCATCCTTTTCACAAAGTGGTGAGTTTCATATGAACTTGAACAACTAATATGATAAAGGTAAAGGGTTCCCTTTGATATTAAGTCTATTCATGTCCAACTCTGGGGGTGGTGCTCATCTCCATTTCTAAGCCAAAAAGCCAGTGTTGTCTATAGATGCCTCCAAGGACCTGTGGTTGGTGTGACTGCATGGAGTATCGTTACCTTCCCGCCAGAGTGGTACCTATTAATCTACTCACATGTTTTCGAACTGCTAGCTTGGCAGAAGCTGGGGCTAACAATGGGAGCTCACCCGTCAGTGTATTCGAACCATCAACCATCCGATCAGCAAGTTCTGCAGGTTAGCGGTTTAACCCACTGCACCACCACTGACACGATATATCTACTCAAATCCTGCCAAATGCCTTAGAAACTTTAGTGAAGACTATTTCCTTAAAATGATGAAAGGTACTAAAGATTCTCAGCACAGAACACATCTTACACCGAGCCATCAAGAAATGGCATGTAGCAAGGCAACTATGGACTTATCTCTAAGCACTTAAAGCACCATTAAGGAATAAGGAAAGCCTAAAAGGAGCCAGAAGCTCAGCTATTTTAAACCACAGTGGAAATCTTGAAAGTCTCAAATGATTCTAATGCAGAACATTCACATCCATCTCAAAAGTCAAAAGGTAGAAGAAGAAATAGACACATAATATGCTTGCTCCATCTCTTTTCTCAAACTCATTACTCCCACTCCAACTACTCTAATGTGGATGTATGACTAGAGAGGAAATTGTGACCAAACAAGTAATGCAAACTCAGCTGTGATATGTGGATGCATAAAATATGAACACATTGTTTCAGAAATCTTTTAGGCAGCGAAACCTAGGTGCCTGGGAAGTCATGATTAATGCAGCATAAATAGGGCTATGAATAATGCATATGCTGCATCAATAATCTACTCCTCTCCAACTCTTGCATAAAAAAGAAGCAAACTAAGAGACAGTCCTATTACTATGTAAATGTGTCCTGCTCTGCTCCCCTTCTATAAAGGTAGGTCTTGTTTCCCCCCATATAGTATTTTCCATTCTTTGTAAAACACTGATTGAAATAAACATGAGTATTAAAGATACAGAAGCACAAGAAAATTGAACTGATTTAGTTAAACCTTTCTCTGAAACCTTTCTCTGACTTTATTTTTTAGCACTATGCATTAACTGCAGGTAACTACCCATACTACAAATTGGAAAAAAAAAAAAACAGGAACATTTCCAAACATCTTCAATTGCCACGCAAGACAAGGAGATGCTGAGTATCTAACAGAATCTGTCACAAAATTTGATAATAAAATGGGGCTCTTCGGGAAGGAGTGGAAAATATTCACAGGTATAGCATGACAAAAAACCACCATGTCCTTAAGACTCCTTTAGAAGAACTGGTAATTCAGGGTTAAACTACCATCAGACCTACGAACATCTGCATCAAATGCAATTTCTAACCAGAAATCATTTCAATCATGATTCCTGAATTGTTCTTGAAATAGTATATGAAATTTTAACTGATAACTCCTAATAAAAAAGCATTACCTCAAGTGTCAGAAATGCAGTTGTGTGTGTATATATACAATATTAGTTCAATATTCAAATGAATTTAAAAAATACTTCTATTCCAATCTCCCAGGCAAGTATGAACAAAATATATCCCTGGAACCCTATGCTGTTCCTGGGGTTGTTTTTGCAGCCCTCATCCATTCCCAAAAAGCAAATCACTTTTCGCTACCCAAAAAAATGTGAACTGCTGTTCCTGGAAGACTACAGAAACTGTGAAATATGATTTAAATAGGGTACGGGAGTCCCTTACACTATGGGTACATATACATTTTTGATCAAATGCTGTTTGACACCACTTCAACTGCCATTACTCAATGCTAACACTCTTAGACAGAAAAGGCTTAGGACCTTGTAAAACTGCAAATCCCAAGATTCCATAGCACTAGGTCACAGCAGTTAAAACTTGTGTCAAACTGCATTAATACTACAGTGCATATGCACCCTGCTTTTGTTTCTCTTTGTAAAGAAACCTGTTTTACAGAGAAGTGAATCTCTTGGACTTCCCAAGTTTGTTTTTTGAGGAAAAATTGACAGTGTTTATGGCCCCTGGAGGATCCCAGACAGCAAAAAAGGATTGAATAACCTTGCAGCTTCAAGGCTTGGCTGCTTGCTGCCTGGGGGAATCCTTTGTTGGGAGGTGATTGTTTCTTGTCTGACTGTTTCTTGTCTGGAATTCCCGTTTTTTATTGTTGTTCTTCTTTACTGTTCTTTCTTTGCATAGGGACCACCAAACTAAGCTCCCAAACACAAATCAAGGAAGATGAAAGTCACTGCAGACTAATGGAATTAGAGAAGTCAGCCATAGCAGAACACTTGATAAACCAACCTGGACACAGCATATTATTTGAGAACCCAGAAATTTTGGATCACTTTGACAACTACCATGTCAGACTATACAGAGAAGCCATTGAAATCCACAAGCATGTGGACTATTACAGCAGAAAGGAGGAAACCATGAAAATGAACAAAATCTTGCTACCAGTATTAAAAAAAACCTCTAAAATCAGCATAGTAAGAAAGAACAATACTCAAAACCAGGGGAATTCCAGACAAGAAACAATCAGGGCCAGCAAATCGCCTCCCAACAAAGGATTCCCCCAGGCAGCAAGCATCCAAGCCTTGAAGTTGCATGGCTATTCAATGCTAATCAAGGTGATCAATTGCAGCATACACACCTGCCTCAAACAGACAAGAGTTCTTTCTCCCATTCTGGACATTCCACAGATATATAAAGCCCACTTGCCTTGTTTCCAACAAACCTCACAACCTCTGAGGATGCCTGCCAACATGGCCATACAGCCCAGAAAACTCACAGCAACCTAGTGATTCTGGCCATGAAAGCCTTCGACAACACATAAAGCTTGTAACTTATGTAATAGGTTATTTGTATCAAAGGACAAGTATGGTGTTCTGTTGTTATCCTGGCAGCAAACAATTTTGTTGTCTGCTGTTCAAAGTGGCCCATCTAAAGTGACTTATTTTATGAAGAACATGTAAACATTTCCAAAACTCAGGAGCAAACTACAGGAAGTCATAATTGGGGGGGGGGGGGTGGAAACAATTTCTGCATCTATCAGAATAAAATACAAAAAGAGAAAATGGAGAATGCAAAGACTGTTACAGTCAAATAATCTGTAAACTCAAACTGCACTAATTCTACAGTGTACAGCCAGCCATTGTCTCTGGGGGGGGGGGGGGGATGTATCCAAGGATGATCTTGTTTTTATGTGTTCAATAATGTTCAATGTTTTATCAGGGGAGGGTCAATTTTGATGTTTTATACTGGTTTTTTTTTTTATCAATGGCATTGAATTGTTTCCAACACTGTAAATTGCCCTGAGTCCCCTTCAGGGTTAAGAAGTATATAAACACCATAAATCTATGCTCTGCTAAGACACTAAATCAATGGATCTCAACTTGTGGGTCCCCAGGTGTTTTGGCCTACAACTTCCAGAAATCCCAGCCAGTTAAGCGGCTGTTAGGATTTCTGGGAGTTGAAGGCCCAAACATCTGGGGACCCACAGGTTGAGAACCACTGCACTAAACGATAGCTGGTTAGTCAAGCTTATCTGTTTTCCCCTTTCTCTTTTTGTTTTGCTTCTAATGCACCATAAGCAGCAGATACTGCTGATTACCTCACCTACTGTTAGCAAGCATAGGTAGCAAGAGTAAGAATGGTTAGGCTACAGAAGATCTCATCCTTCCTTAGCTATACATTTGACTGAGTTACTTAATGGGCTTAAAGCCAACCTTTAAAAGTATGGCATAGACACTGAGAACTGGGCAGCCCTGGCCCTTGAGCTCTCTCACTGGAGGTCAGCTGTGACCAGCAGTGCTGCAGAATTCGAAGAGGACGAATGGAGGGTGAAAGGGAGGAAGGCAGATCAAGCCAACCCTGTGGGAGAATATGCAGATCAAGAACAGGGCTCCACAGCCACCTACAAACCCAGCCCCAAGACACTTCACTTGAAGGACCATCATCCTCCAGTTAAGAGGGATCCCCTAAGTATTGGAGTACCACCAACGTCTGTATTTCTTCACCATTATTCCAATGATAATGCCAGGGAAAAGAATGCTTGGGGAAAAGACAGCGATAAGAAGGAAAACGGGGCTGAGTGGCCATAAAAAGACTTGGGGTGCATCTACACCGTATAAGTAATGCACCTTGAAACTGCCATAGACTCTACCTAATTTCCCGAGCCCTCTACAAATTGCACTAGCCTCGGTCCGGCCTTTTAAATTGCCTTGAACAGACAGGATTATTTTTTATATATATGTGCTACTGTGATTTTTTTTATGCTTATATTGTATTGTTAAATTGATGTCTATGTTGTTTACTTTGTATGTATTGATGATGTTACTTGGAAACCGCTCTGAGTCTCAATGTATTGATGATGTTATTGAGTCTTGGGAGATAGAGCGGTATATAAATAAAGTTTTGCTGTTGTTTTAACTTTCTCACGCAATGTTACGGAGTCATGGAAGCCTTGCAAGGTCTTCTTTGCCAAAGAGGGTACCCCACCACATTATAACTCCCATAACTTTGAGCCAGGGCAGTTAAAGTGGTATCAAACTGCCTTAATTCCACAATGTAGATAAGGCATGGACAAACTTTGGCCCTCCAGGTGTTTTAGACTTCAGATCCCACAATTCCTAACAGCCTAGCGGCTGCATTGTCAAAAGTTTCCATGGCTGGAATCACTAGGTTGATGTAGGTTTTTCAGGCTACATGGCCATGTTCTAGAAGCATTGTCTCCTGACGTTTCGCCTGCATCTTTGGCAGGCATCCTCAGAGGTTGTGAGGTCTGTTGGAAACTAGGAAAATGGGGTTTATATATCTGTGGAAAGTCCAGAGTGGAAGAAAGAACTCTTTTCTGTTGGAGGCTCCGATCATTGGACATAGCATATTATCTGAAAACACAGAAATGCTGGACCACTCTAGCAATTACCATGTCAGGCTATACCGAGAAACCATTGAAATCCAAAAGCATGTGGACAATTTCAACAGAAAGGAAGAAACCATGAAAATGAACAAAATCTGACTACCAGTATTTAAAAAACTCTAAAATTATAACAATAAATAAAGAACAAAACTCAAACACAGGGGAACTCCAGACAAGAAACAATCAGGGACAGCTAATCCCCCAGGCACTAACAAGCCACGCCTAAAAACCATCAGGCCATCAAAGTGGCCAACTGAAACATTCACACCTAGCTCCAAAAGACAAGAGTTCTTCCCCCCCCCCAAGACTTTCCACAGACATATAAACCCAATTTCCCTAGTTTTCAACAGACCTCACAACGTCTGAGGATGCCTGTCATTAATGCAGGCGAAATGTCAGGAGAGAATGTTTCTAGAACATGGCCATAAAGCCCTACAACAACCCTGTCATTGCAACATTGCATAGAATCATGAGGTTTGTAATTTGATGAAGCACAAGACCTCTGGCTAAAAAAATCAAAATGTTGTTATTGTCATTTGACATATACTGACCCTATGAATGAGAGACTTCCATGTCACCTTTCTATCAAGAGCTTGCTCAGGTCTTGCAGACTCATGGCCATCACTTCCCTGACTGACTTTATTCACATGTACTGTAATGCAATATTCCTCTTTTCCAACCTTACCAAACATTATTGTTGCTTCTCGTGAATCATGTCTTCTCATTATAAAACCAAACCACAGCCTTCTCAGTTTTATCTTCAGGAAGGGTTCAAGTGGATTCAATTATTTGTCCTTTTGGCAGTCTGTGGCATCTACTGCACTTGCAGACCCAAGGCCATCACCTCACAACTTCTGAGGATGCCTGCCATACATGCAGGCGAAACATCAGGAGACAATGCTTCTAAGAACATGACCATATAGCCCGAAAAACCTACAACAGCCTACTGGCTGTTAGGAATTGTGGGAGTTGAAGTCCAAAACACCTGGCGGGCCAAAGTTTGCCCATGCCTGGTGAAGATGAAGTGATCTGTCTAGGCCTGGTTGAAGAATGCCTGTACTATGGCCTCTACAAAAGTTTCTCCTCATAGCTGCCCAGATTTATCAATGGTAAAAGCACGGAAAGCTACAACATTCAAGGGATTTCCCCCGAGAGAAGGAGCTATTGCTACAACAACCTCCTGTTCATTACCTCGAATATCCACCGCTGCCATGATTCCAGCTTCACCGGCCCAACTTACGTCATCAGCGCGCGACGCCGAGTCATTCCGCGGTCTCAGGAACAGCCAATCGAAGGAGAAGAGAGGCGGTGTTCTGTAGTGCAGCGACGAGAGGGAAAGGCTTGGCCGAGCATGCGCACTTGCTGCTTCGGTTTGTGGAGGGAGGGAGGGTGGATGTGCTATTTGGGTTCTGCTGCTGGAAATGGGATTTAGTGAGAGATTTTCGGTAATATTCGCCCCTAGGCAACTCATTTGGCAACTCAGTAGCCATTCTAAGTGCAAAAGGTGACTGAGGGCTGGATTTACGCCAGGCATGGGCAAACTTGGGGCCCTCCAGGTGTTTTGGACTCCAACTCCCACCATTCCTAACAGCCTCAGGCCCCTTCCTTTAAGCGGCTGAGGGGGAAAAGGAAAGGGCCTGAGGCTGTTAGGAATGGTGGGAGTTGGAGTCCAAAACACCTAGAGGGCCCCAAGTTTGCCCATCCCTGATTTACACAGCATTGTATGGCAGTGTAGATCCATTAATCTGGAATATCAGTATACAAATGGATCTTGTCACATCTTTGAAACTATTTGAAAAACTCAGCATCTTTCATAGATTATAAAATTGTTTTTATATGTTGTACACCGCCGTGAGTCGCCCTAGGGCTGAGAACGGCGGTCTACAAGTGCAGTAAGTAAGTAAATAAATAAATAAATAGATTTGGGTTGCATCTACACTAGAATTGATGCAGTTTGATGCCACTTTAGTTGACCCACCTCAGTGCTGTGGAATCACGGGAGATTTTGCAAGGTCTTTAGCATTCTCTGCTAAAAAGTGCTGGCGCCTCACCAAACTGCAACTCCCATGATCCCATAGCATTGAGCACTGGCAGCTAAAGTGGTGTCAAACTGCATTAGTTATACAGTGATCAGGCATGGGTAAACTTTGGCCCTCCAGGTGTTTTGGACTTCAACTCCCACCATTCCTTACAACCGGTAGGAATGAAGTCCAAGACACCTGGAGGGCCAAAGTTTGCCCATTCCTGGCATACATGGACACTTAGTCTCTGATATCAGATGAATGAGATTTAAGTCTATTAAAGCTTATGCTAGTTTTTTCAGGATGCTTCTACACTGAAGAATGACTGCTGTTTCATAGGATCCTAGAGTTGGAAGACATCTTGTGGGCCATCCAGTCCAACCCCTGCCAAGAAACAGGAAAATGGCATTCAAGGCACCCCCAACAGATGGCCATCCAGCCTCTGCTTAAAAGCCTCCAAAGAAGGAGCCTCTGCCACACTCCGGGGCAGAGAGTTCCACTGCTGAACAGTTCTCACAGTTAGAAAGTTCTTCCTAACATTCAGGTCGATTCTCTTTTCCTGTAGTTTGAAGCCATTGTTCCGCATTCTAGTCTCCAGGGCAGCAGAAAGCAAGCTTGCACCCTCTTCCCTATGACTTCCCCTTACATATTTATACATGGCCATAATGCCTCCTCTCAGCCTTCTTTTCTGCAGGCTAAACATGCCCAGCTCTTGAAGCTGCTCCTCATAGGGCTTATTCTCCAGACCCCTGATCATTTTGGTCGCCCTCCTCTGGACACATTCCAGCTTGTCAACATCTCCCTTCAATTGTGGTGCCCAGAACTGGACACAGTATTCCAAATGTGGTCTGACCAATTCAGGTGACATCACTTGAATTGCCATGGCTCAATGCTATGGGATCCTGGGAATTGTAGTTTGGTGCGGCACCAGCATTATTTGGCAAAGAGGACTAAAGATCTTATAAAACCATACAACCCCTATGATTCCATAGAATAGAACCATTGCACTTCAATGGTGTCAAACTGCATTCATTCTATAGTGTAGATGCACCCTTTTTTAGTCTCAAAGGTGCTGCCAGATTCCGTTTTGTTGTACTAAATTGTGAGTCTTTACAAAATAATGCTATCTGCCAGAAGGTCTAACTTTTAATAGTACAGTACTACAATCTGCAAAGCCTTCTGCCTGGAAATAACAGACACCATTAATAGGGGGTTGTCCATAATACATGTAGTAGCAGCCGTCACCCAGCTCTGTGCTACTGACCTCAGTTAAACTTCACTTTCTTACTGGTGTCATGTGAGTAAACCTGGCTGGACTGTGACCCAAGTTGATCTCTTGAGAGGGAGTGTGTGTTTTCAGGTTGCCTGTCAGCCTTATGAATTTTATAGGGTTTTCTTAGGTAAGGAATATTCAGAGATGATTTTCCCAGTCCCTTCCTCTGAAAGCCCACAGCATCTGTATTCATTCATAGATTACCATTCCAGGACTAACCAAGGCTGGTCCTACTTAGCTTGGAAAATCAAGGAGATGTCTTGTGCCTTTAGGGTATTTAGGTCACCATACAGTGTGATATACTTACTGAAGCTACCCAGAAGAATGTATAATTAAGATACAGCCAGTGAAACTCACAGCAACCCAGTAACATTAAGAGTTGTGGTAGGTTCCAAGGTGTTTCTGGACATTTTACTGAGCTAAAAGGCTAGCCCATTTGATACTCAAAGAAAGGGCTTGTCTTTTGTCTGCTATCATACCCATCCACTGTCCTGATTTAATCCTCTGTGTTCATCCCCATCAGTTTCACAACTTAAAATTCGCCAGGGTTCAAGTACACTGCAGAATGAATGCAGTTTGACACCACTTTAACTGTGATGGCTCAATGCTATGGAATCGTAGGAGTTGTAATTTTACACTCTAATAAATATGTTGAATAGCACCAGGCCCAGGACAGAAGCCTGTGGCACCCCACTAGTCACTTCTTTCCAGGATGAAGATGAGCCATTGGTGAGCATCTTTTGGGTTCAGTCACTTAACCAATTACAAATACACCTAACTGTACTATTATGTAGTGCATGTTTTATTCGTTTGTTTGCAAAAGTACCATGGGGGACCTTGCCAAAGGCCTCACTGAAATCAAGATATGTTACATCCACTATGTTCCCTGTATTTGCCAAGCTTGTAACCCTATTGAAAAATCAATAGGGTTACAAGCTTGGCAAATACAGGGAAGGTTAGTCTGGTGTGACTTGTTTTTGAGAAATCCATGTTTAGTTTTAGTAAGTGCAGCATTCTTTTCTAAGTGATTACAGACTGCTTCCTTAACGATCTGCTCCATAATCTTTCCTGGTATTGATGTCAGGCTGACTGTGTGGCAAATATCATTGTCAGTAGTTCTGAAACAAGTTCTGCTAGTTCCTTCAATACTCTTGGATGTAGTTCATCTGGCCCAGGCGACTTGAATTAATTTCTAGTAGCCAGGTATCCCTGGACTACTTCTTTACCTGTTTTGGGCTGCATTTCCCCTATTTCATCCATTCAAATTGAACACCAATATCTTTTTGGGAGAAGACTGAGACAAAGAAGTTATTGAGCAGCTCTGCCTTTTTCCTATCCTCTGTTAGCATTTCACCACTTTCTCCACACAGAGGCCCTACCGTTTCCTTTTTCTTTTTCTACTGATATAACCAAAGAAGCCCTTTTTATTGTTTTTAATCTCTCTGGCAAGCTTCAGCTCATTTTGTGCTTTAGCCTTTTGAACCTTTTTCTTATATGTGTAGGTTATTTCTTTGAATTTCTCTTTGGTGACTTCCTCCCTTTTCCATTTTTTGTACATGTCTCCTTTAAATCTTAACTCATTTGAAAGTTCTTTGGATATCCATCCTGGGTTCTTGAGGCTTTTCCCCCCTACTTGCTGACACTATATTGGTTAGGATCAGATCCAGAATAGCTGATCCCCTTGTTGCTTCTTCCACTTTCTGGACAACAAAACTATCTCCATGGCAAGTGCAGAATTCGTTGGACTTTGTACTCTTGACAGAGTTTGTTTTCCAACAAATATCAGAATAGTTGAAAACTCCAATTACTACTATATCTCTTCTTTCTGCATGTTTGCTCATCTGTTCAAGGAAGGTTTCATCCAAGTCTTCAGTCTGGCCTGGAAGTCTGTAGTAAACCCCCAGAACTACATCTTTTTCAGTTCTAGCTCCCTTAATTTTTATCCAGATTTGTCAACCTAATTATCAGGATTGAAGTCCTTCATCTCTTCCCATGTGTAAACATCTTTAACATATAATGCTCCCTTCCCTATTTGGTCAATGTATCTGAAATAAGTTATACCCCTACATTACTACATTCCATTTATAGGACTCATCCCATCAGCTTTCAGTGATGCTCATTACATCATAACTGTTTGTCGTGCTAAGAGTTCCAGTTTATGTTGTTTATTACTACCTATAGGCTGTGATGTCAAGGGAACCCCCAGCCAATCTCGGCATAGATCCTAGCCTGCCTCTTTGCCAGCCAATCAGGGGAGGGAGCAGGATGTGTGAATAGCTGTCAGAACTGTATAAGATGTCCTGCATTTCTCTGTATGTTTATGCTTGTACCTTTTGAAGCGAACTGTACTTGGATGGTTTTTGACCAAATTGTAATAAACCTTTGTGGCTTGTCTTCAACCTGGGAAGCTTGTTTCTCTTATGACCTTGTATAAGAGATGCACACCAGGCATGGACTTCTCTAACCACAGTTCTAGCTGAAATCAGTACAAACCAATGGGATTTTCATGCCTGAGTAGAAATTTGAATCCCTTCCTCCCACAGTCTTAAACACTCAAATCATTTATATACTGTTGCTCCCTAAACCCTTTTGTATCCTAATTCTGGTTTTGTTAGAACCAAGATAGTAAAAATGTGCACTTAACTGTTTGATGTTTCTAAGTGAAGTCATACAGAATAGGCACTTTTCCTAGCAAATATCTTATTTTCTTTCTAAACGAAAATGGGAGGGATATTCCATTTTAGCACTCAAAGAAAAATATTGGAGTATGGAAAAATAATATCAGGAGGTGGGAAGATGTTGCTGTTTCAATTATACCTAACTCAGGGAAGAGATAAGATTGCAGACTGGTGAACTGGAAGGAAGTATGGCCACATCTGGGAGAGTGTTTCCAGACAGCAAGCCCAGTCAAAAGATAACATACAGCTGTGTTCTGTCTCTCCCTTTTTGATAGATCTTCTCTAGTAGGGAAACGAAGGGGGAA